CCCCCACCTCTGTCCCCCAACAGCAGTACCTGAAGATGAAGACGGGGTACCCAGGTGGGCTGGATGGGGCTGGGCCTCCTCCTCTCCACCCCCTCCCTTCTCCTCCACCCCACCCCCCAGCAACAGCCCAGCCTCATGTGAAGACTCAGCCGTGAAGGCTCCAGCGTAAAGAAATGAGACCCAGAGCAAGAGAAGGAAACCAGCATTTCCTGAGGGCCTTCTACATGCAGCAGTCTTCCTTATTAGACTCTCACAGTCCTACAAAATGGGAATATTAGCCCCATTTTAAAGATGGAGACACTGAGGCTCAGTACCCTGCCCAGGGTCACACTACTGTAAGGTGTAGAGCTGAGCTGTGCAGCTCCAAGCCCATCTTCCCACCACTTTGCTGCCCCTTCTCAACATGGCCCTGCTGGGTTCTGGCCTCAGCAGAGGGGTACGAAAGTGGCCCCAGGCACAGTCAGTGGAGAGAAAACCTCATTTCCCATCTCTCAGGACGTATTCCCACACCTACCCAGCCCAGCTGCCAAGGGCCACAGCCCTGCAGAGAACATGCTAAGCCTGTAAGGGGGACGGGCCAGCCAGACTGCCTGGTGGGCTGCTGTGCTCTGAGCTATCCACAAGCCTGAGATGGCATCTGCTGCCAGCTTTGTGGATGTGCTAGGAGAGGGCACCAGCAACACAGCGATGTTCTGGAAAGGTCTCGTGGTCCACTTTCCTCAGGATATTTCTGTGGCCAGTACTCAAAGGGACAGAGACTTCACCTACATGGAGATGCTCCACTCAGATCCCACTTCGAGGAAGGCCTTGCCCCTGCTGCGGAGCCCCCTCAGGTCTGCCTCTGCTGCAGAGAGCCCCCTCGCCTGACCTCATGCCCTTCCTGGCAGCCATACCTCTGTGGCCAAGCAGCCAAGTGCCCCCATGTGCTTCCTGGGCCTGGAGGGTGCCCAGGACTGAATTGGTTGTGGGCCTCCCCAGGCAGAAGAAAATGGAGAGGGAGCCTGGGGTGCCAGGGCCCCACCAGGCTGGTGCCACCGGGTGTGGGTCCTGTCTCAGCTCTGCCAAGTGTGTTCTGAAAGACTGTGTGGCCCTGGACAAGTCGCCTCACCTAACTGTGCACCCAGGGCCCTTGGGTGCTCATCCAGAGCAAGACACTCCAAAAGCACCCAGGCTAAGCTTTTCAAGAGCTAAGGGGTATGTGTGTGGGGGGGGGGATTTGAAGAGAAAATGGGGCAGAGCAAGCACTGCTGGAGGAATTTCAGGCCTGGCCAGAAAGGTTATCTGTGTAGGTGTTGGGGAGGGTGGGGGGCAGGACGAAGGCTTTTGGACCCTAGCTCAGCCTCTTCCACTCTAAGTGCTGTGGGGAATTCAGGTCTGAGTCTTGGGCCTCAGTCTGTGAAACGGAATAACGAACAGCACCTGCTCTGCCAGGACCGTGAGAGTAATAAGTGAGTGCCACCCAGAGCAGCTGGCTCCAAGCTGCACCTCAAACACCAACCCCCAAATTCTGCCAAGTTTGCTCAGGCAGGCATGTGACAAAACTCTCAATATTTAAGTAAAACTATGCCAGGAAGGTGAGCTGTTTTTTCCCTATGGTTTCCAGGTCTCCTTCCCAACCTCCCAGAGGTGCCTCTGGGACTGCTGGGAAGAGGCAACAGGAATCTGCATGTGACGTTCCTGGCACAGGACTCAGCTCACGGTAAAGCAATGAGGCCAAGGATACAAGGCAAACACAAGCCGCTGCACGACCTCAGGGAGGCTCCCCAACTCTGGGCTCCTTGACGGAGGAAAATGTTCACCCTTCACTGCTTAAAGCTGACAACAGCTAACATATCCATAGAGCTTCCTCAGAGGCACACACCTTCCAGACGCTCTCCACATGTGGAAGGTGAACTGGTATCCCCGCTTTACAGATGAGGAAACTGAGGCACGGAGAGGTCACATAACTTGCCCATGATCCTCCAGCTAATACATGGACCCCACAGGGTAGTTTTGAGGCCCAGATGAAGCCGGGACCCAGAGGTGTCTTTGCAGACCAGCGAAGGTGGACCCATCTACCATACTACGCATGTCTTTGACCCAAGTCAAAAGCAAGGCTATGGCTGGTGAAGCTAAGGGAGCTCCACATGGACTCTTCTGAGCCCCTAGGAGGGGCCCTAGCAACGCACTTGCAGGATCCTCTGATCTGTCAAATTTGTGGCAATGTTTTTTGGTATCATTTTTCCTAAAGGTTGCCCCCACCCAAATTATCTGAGTTCAGGCCTCCACATTCACCTGTGTCTAGGATATAATTTTTTTTTAAATTTCCTCTTCCTTTATTGGCAGGGGGAATATAATTTTTTAAAGGGCCAGAAGGTGGTGTGTCAGAGGGCGTGTATGGCAGGCACATGGGAGAAGCAATAAAGGTCAGCCGAGCCAGCCCAATCCTGGCGGTGGGGCCTGTGGGATCCAGCCTTGCAGTGCAGACAAATCCCTCATTCAGACTCTTCTGTTCTGCTCCACCCGGAATCCAAGCATCGCCCGTTTCAAGGGCAGTCACAGCTGCTGAGTGAATAAATTCCTTGCTGTGTGACCCAGGGCAGGCTGTTTTCGGGCTGAGCCCAGGCTCCTCGTGTGTAACATGGGGGGACAACACCCACCTCATAAGGCAGTGGGGAGGACCCAAACAGACAAGGCCCAGGAAGTGCGGGGCACAGTGCCCAGTGTGGGGACACCTTAAGGAAGCAGTGTTGCAACCGTAGGATGCAGCCCACCAGCAGGCTGGGAAGCCCGTACCCCTCACTGCTGCCAGCACTGCTGACGGGCAAGGCCTGGCAAACACTTCTAGAGCAGTGGCACTGCCCACCCCATGCCAGCTTGAGTGCCCCTCCCCCACATGCCAAGCTCCTGGGCAATGGACACCCTGAGAGAGAGATGTACAGAAGTTCCCACTCCCTGGAGGGGGAGCAGGTGCAAGGGGAGCTCCAGGCAGGATAAAACTGGGGTCAAATCTCCCCGCTCCCCAACCTACGGGCCTACCAGGGCTGGCCAATCACCCCCAGAACCTCCACTTCCCAGCCCAAAGTGGTGGCAGGACGCACTCCCAGGCACTAGCCAGGACTTGCATAGCCACAGCCTTTGGTGGACCGAGTAGTCATTCTCTTAATGCACCTAGCGAAAGCATCACAAGCGCGCTGTACTGCTACCACCTTGCTGAGTGGACCCATGGTGAATGAATGGATGAGGGTGAGGCTTAGTACGTGACCCACCCAGTGTCACACAACTTGGGAGTAGCAGAGAAGGGCACAGTCCGGGGCCTGATTTGCCTGCAGTGGCCATGGCCAGCGGGTGCCCTGAGACCCCCAGACATCCTAAAGGACAGCTTGATGTCTCTCTAAGCCACGTGTCTGGGTCCTGTAGGCTGGGGCTGGCTTCCCTGGGAGCCACAGTAAGAAGGGCAGTGTGACAGCCTTGAAACAAGCCCCCTGGACAGGAAGACGCAGGGACCACGAGCCCAGCCTCCTTCCTGAGCGCTGTCATGGTGGCCTCCTGACACCTCCCTGCTCCACTCTTGCCTCCTTGGATCCAAGCAGCAAGCATGAGGCACTAAAATGTGAATCTACTCACACCGCTGAACAGGGTCTTCCGCAGCCCCCTCTGCTCTTAGAGCAAAGCCTCAGCCCCTGGGACCCTGGCCCTATGGGGTCGGGTCACCAGGCAGCCTCTTGGGTATAATCCTGCACTGACTGCCCTCACTACTCACCTGGCCTCTCTGCTCTTCTCTCAGTTCCTCTGGTCTCGCCGGCCACAGGTCTCTGTCCAGCCTGATGCTCCTGCCCCACATCACCAGTCAATGCCAGGCCATTTCCCAGGCTCAGCCCTAACACCATTCCTCAGGGCAGCCCCCTACTAGGTCAGGCCTCCATGACAGGCTCTCAGAGCACCAGGGCTCTCAGAGCAGGGAAGGAGGATCCCAGGCAGCAGTACTCTTTGGAATCCCCAGACTCCTCCCACTCTTGCCCACTCAGCCCTGGAGTTCCAGGCATGTGCTCTCGCCCTTGGGGAGGCAATTCCCCACTCTCCCCCAGGAAGCCTCACTGCTTGGACACAGGGACCTCTGCCTCCCCCGACTGACTGCCTCCCATTGTCTGCTCACACCCCAGGCCCACCACACACCTCCGGAGACTTCCTGTGTGCTGTGTCTCCCCTTCCTAACACTGTGGTTCTTGGAGGGGAGCATCAGTGCATGACCACCTCAGCCATGAGGTTTGGCATGGCAGAACATGACTCTGTCCTGGCCATCTGGGCACCCCCGGCCCAGGCCCAGTCCATTGCAGGTGTTCAGGGAATACCACTGTGTTCAGACTGCAGAAGGATGAGACCAGACTCAGAAGGACTTGGGGGTCACTGTGCCCTATCCAACCTGGCCCCAATGGCTGGGAACACGAAAAAAGAGGGGCACTGGCAGAAAGCCTTCAGCTCCAGTGACCCAGTTCTCTTGGCCTCAATAACACCAATCACTCAGGTTACAGCTGATTAGGTGTCTGCACCACCTGACCCTGGGCCAGGGGTCTGAAGAGCTCCAGCCCCCAGCCTTTTCCAGTACATGCTTAACACATCCACATTAGTGGGCTGGATCAATGGATACAATCAACAACAGCCAATATTTTGGGACACTTACTAAGTATCAGGCATTGTCTAAATGCATAACACATATTAACACATTTCGACCTATGAGTGAGGTGCTATTAAAATTCTCTTTTTATAGGAAGGAAGACTGAGGCCCAGAAAGGTTAAGACACTTGCCCAGGGTCACACAGCAACAGCCTCCAGAGTTCACTTTACCTATCTCCCTTGTCACTCTGTGTGGTTCTGATGAGGAGCACGTGCTCTAGCCCAGACCCTGTCCAAGCCCCCATCAAGCCCCCTCCCAGTCCAGCCCCCAGGTCCAGCTTACCATGTGGGGTGTGGTGGTGGAGGGAAGGGAGGCCGGGCCCCAAACCCAGTGCCATGGCACTCACCAGCACGCGGTCTCCCAGGCGCAGGTCCTTGTCGCCCCGCTTCACAGAGCCGCTGTCGGAGAGGTTGGAGCCAGACTCATTGCCTGTCTTGACAGCGCTGTTGAGGACACTCTCCCGCAGTGGGATGACACGGCTGGTCAGCGGTGGCGTGGCCGTGCCCGAGTGCAGTGACAGATTCTGGGCAGTCAGCGACTCCACTGAGTGGGCGTCACTGCCCGAGCCCTCGGCTGTGGGCTGGCGGCTGAGCTTGGAGGGCCGCGTGAAGATCCCCTGCAGTGCCGGGCACTCGAAGTAACGCACGCCACCCACCGCGCCGTCGTTCTTGCCCACCGGTTCGTCCAGCACCACGCCCGCCCATTGGCCCGGTGCGAACTGCGTCTCACCCAGGTACTGCACCACGCCTGGCTTCACGCCATTCACCCAAACCCGCTCGCCCACCACGAAGTCCCCCAGGAAGTCATCGCCCACTTCAGCTGCCTTCAAGCCTGGCTTCTCGGGGGCAGCAGCAGTGGCTGCGGAGGAGGAGGGGCCTGACGCCTGCTTGTGCAGGGGGGAGCCTGTGGAGCAGAGAGAGAGGCCACAGTTAGGATTGGTGTGGGAGCTGCACCCCCGGCGGCCGCCCCAGGAACCCAGAGCCTAAGCTGGGAGGTGCCAGTGCTGGTCCACTGATGGGAAAACTGAAGCAGACGTGGCTGGGAGACTGGCCCTGAGCAGGTCTCATTCCTCTTGGGCCTCAGGCATCCCCGGGTCTCTCCCTACTCTTCCAGCCACTCTGGAAGGCTCTAAGGACTAAAAGCTCAGGAAAGTGATTCCTCAGAAGCAACAGCTTTTCAGCCACCCATGGTCACTCAAGATCCAGGGCCAGGAATAAACCCATTCTCAAGGATTACAAGTTACCACCTCTTCACTCCAGTAGGCTCAAGCCCTCAGCTGTTCACCCAAGATCACGGCCCCTATGTGGGACCCAGATGGTGTGGCAGTGGTCTCTGTGACCACCATCCTCTTCCCCAGACAGCTCCAGGCCCCACAAAAGGTTCCAAACCTGTTCCTTGACAGCAGAAACAGACACACCCACAGGCATCTTGGGGCAAGAAAGGAGCCAGGAAACCCTCTTCCTCCCTCCCGGGACTGAACTCTGTGCTTTCTGGCCTGAACTGGCCTTAGGGTCTCCTGATCCATCCCCTCCTAATAGGGAGAATGACCCTGAGGCTCAGAGAGGCAAGAGCCTTGCCCAAGGTCACACAGCAGTAACAGGACTCAAACCCAGGGAGGAGGCCTGCCTCCCAGGTCTGGGCTCCACGAGCTACAGATGCAGAAGGATGGGAAGCAGCTCGTTCAAGGTCACTCAGGAAACAACAAAGCAGGGCTTGAGCCACTGTGGCTCATTGTCTGGTCCCTCCCAACTCGCTGAACCACTAGGGTCCTGGGCCCCATCACGCTGGGTTCTCCTGTGCCGTCTGTTTGCCCCTCTGCCCCATTCATTCCCTGTCCTGGGCTGCCTGCCCACCTGCACCTCAGCCTTGAGGCTGGGCCCCTTCCTGCCAGACCAAGCGTCAGGCAGAGAATCCTCTGCCCCACGAGCTGATGGGCCCGTGAAACTCTAATGGTGATGCATGCCCCCCTCAGAGTTGCCTGTTTCTGGCCCTTTCCACAGGCAGCCAGTGGAGAAGCCGCAGGGCAGCGGCTCCCAGTAGCAGTCCCTGGGCCACAAGCCTGGCCAGATGCCCTCTCAAGGGCCCCATCAAACTGTTGCTCTCCAGGGCTGGAAGCCAACTCGCAAGGATAGAGCCTCAGGGTGGCCAGCATGAGGTTCTCCCTCTGGGGGCACTGACAGCTGCGGTGGGAAGCGTGTGGCCACCAGGGCTTGGGCAGCCAGCTTGGAGGCCCTGACTGCAGGGAGGGCTACCTCCTGCTTGTCAGCTGGGCTCCTGGACTTCATTAACAGCACAGAAATCACACCCTTATATTGATGCTCTGTGCTAAGAGCCTGACATACAGTAGCTCATCTGATCCTCATCTGTACCCATTTTACAGATGAAGAAACTGAGGCTCAGAGATGCCAGGAGATATACCTGGGCTCCCAGATGGTGGGCAGCAGAGCCATGCTCTGGTCAAGGCCTCTGGCTCTTGGTGCAGAGCACTTTGATTCATGTGTACCAAGCACCTGCCATGCCAAGCCCCACACTACAATCACCCCAAATCCCGTACTCCTCTGAAGGCACTCATTTCCCAGAATCTGACCAAACCCTACAGCTCCCTACAAGCAGAGAACAAACTCAGCTTTTACCCTTTCCTGCATAAGGATGTCCCCTTCTGTCTCCTATTTTGAGAAGAACCCTTGGTGGGGCCCTGGGCTGCAGACACCAGAGGGTCTTCTCCACCACTAAAAACCCAGGAGGCAGAGGCCTTGGCAGCTGTTGAAGCAGGCTCTGGAGCCAACAATCCTGAGCTGGACCCCAGCTCCTCCCACTCCAGGCTGCAGGTTACTTAACGCCTTGAAGCCTCAGTTTCCTCTTCTATACCTTTGTCCTAGGGTTGTTCTGAGAACACAGCATAAAGTGCTTGGGACAGTACCTGGCCCGTACTAGTTAACAAAAAATGCTGACTATTACTGTTATTTTGATGAGAATGATGTGTGCTCACACTGCGGGGTTCAAAAAAATTTAAAAACACAGAAGGCTCAGGAGTTGGAAGAAGGACTTCCAGGCAGGTTCTGGTGACCCTGGGCAAGTCGCTCTACCCCTCAGTAAAACGAGGGAAGTGGAGGAGTCCTGCAGTTGTTAAACCCCGAGGGTAAGCAGCCAGCTCTCACAGAACTCAACATACTAGATTCCTGCACCCGGGCGAGCCCCCGGGAGTCCATGGTCCCGATTTAGGACAATCTTGTATGACAAATAGCTTCTGCTGGGACCATGTCAGTAATGGGAACTAGGAAACCACACACACAGACGCACACACACACACACGCACGCACACGCACGCACGCGCGCACACACGGAGACACACCCAGACACACTGACACACACACGCACACGCACGCACGCACACACACACACGGAGACACACCCAGACACACTGACACACACACGCACGCACGCGCGCATGCACACACACGGAGACACACCCAG